TGAAGACTTCAACATTCCACCAATCACCCCTCCCTCTCTCCCTGACCACTCACTGGTGCACGTGAATGAAGTCGAACCTGGTTACCACTCTCTGTGTCACCCAATGAACCATAATGGCCTGCTACCATTTCATCCACAAAACATGGACCTACCTGAAATCACCGTCTCCAATTTGCTGGGACAGGACGGAGCACTGCTTACTAACTCCATTTCGGTGGTAAGAATCTGTTACTGATTTGTGGTGCGGAGCGAGGTCATTAGTGAGGGTAAGGTCGACTTTCGTGGGAGATGCTTTACATTGTAGTAACGTGGGATTCGGAAACTAGGCACAAGTTTTTAGCTAGGGAAAATGTTCCCCATACATTCCTAAAGTAATTTTCTGTCTTCTGTTGACTTCAAGGCAAAATCAATTAATTACCTGTTTGATCACTCATATGTCTAACCCAAAGTTCTAAGCCCTATTTGACACTGAAGGCCCTGTCATAAAGTTGAACTGTCTTACTAGCTTTCAGATAAAAAGTTATCTTTAGAGGGGCCACAAGCAAGACCCTCACATCTTCTGACTAGGAACTGCTGTTCAGTCGGATTTCTCCCCCATTTTCCACAGATTTACAGGATAGGAAAGTAAGAAAACATCTTCATTTGTATTTCGGAAGTACAATTCTAGTGACCAAAATTTATCTCCATTAAAGTGTTTCAATCTATTGGATCCATTGTCCCCATGAATCTTCGAGTGTTCTGTACTTCTCAAAGTTAGTGGGAAAGTGTATCATCCAGAAAAACCAGCAAACATTAAATTTCCAGCCCTCTACCCAGAAGTCCAGGGATCTGTATTTTTAGCAAGCATCCCGTGTTTGAGAAACATTGACTTACCATGAAATCTTTCCTTCTGGTTCGTGTGTCATCTAAAACCTTAGTCATTTCTCTGTCTATATCTCCAGTAGTGAAAAATAGTTTCAGCAGTATATGGCCAAGGACAGAACTCTTTACCTTGTCATCAAACTCTCCCTGAGGTTAACAGTGACTTTTAATTAGCACTCTTTGGTTTCCGTTGTTCAATCACTTAACGGTACATGTAACTCGATTGTCATTTTGGTAAGTCACTGAACAGTGCTGTTGTGCTCACAATGAACAAATTGATTAACTTGCTCATCTTATATGGCTTTCTGGTAGGCAGCATTCACATTATCACTAATCAAAATCATTTGGGGATGTATCTCTAACTTGAGTGGCTTCACAAGAAGGTTTTCCAATTAATCATGAATGTGAAGGGTGGGGTTTGGGGAGGGAGGGTCAAAAGAGACCCTGAAGTCACTTTTCGAGAATGAAACCCAAAGCCTCATGCCATGACAGTGTCCAGATTCTAAGAATTGGCAGCTAGCTCAGTGGCCAAGAGAGAACTCATTTGCAGCACTCACGGTGGCAGAAAACTATTGCCTTGATTTTTTATTCTACCTGTATAGATTTGCCCTAAGAATATTAACTATGGCTTTATAAAATAGGACATGGATTTTTAAGTGAATAGGCTAAATTCGTAAATCTGAATCACGCTGTACTTCAAAGTAGTCACCTTGAAGAGTCACGTGTCTATTCCTCTTTGGGGCTAGGCCTTCACAGACCCAGTTCCGAAGTCAATGAGGCATCCAGGTGACGCCTTTATAAGCACCACCTGTTTGCTAAGAAGAACGCATGCACTGTATATACTACCAAGTCGGTCCTCTAAGCTTTCTCATAGTGTGAATGGAGCGGGGCCATAGAAGGGATAATGAGATATTCAGTTCTGTAATTCAAGTCTCAAAACTCTTTTCTCCTTTATATAATTTGCCTTCTTAGCATTCTGAGGACCATCTCGATATACCACTCACTCGTTAAGAGATGCTTCTTCAGTGTATATATGCATACATACATTGTGTGCAGCTTCAACATATATGCATCGAGGATTTCCCCAGAGTTGCCAAAATGGCAGTCACTCCACCCTCAAATGGCATGCTCAGAATGGGACCTAGTCACAGCGTGAAATGCACCACTTTCTAGGTCCTTCCTCCACTGTGCTCTCCTCTTGTCCTATCCACAGCTTCTCCTCATCCAGATTTCTTTATGCTTTCCCCACCCAACCCAATGTCAAAAACTGGACTTTAGGTATTTTCCCTTCAATGTGGTATTTCCTTTGGAACTTTTAACATTGTGCAAGGCAGAGGGGCCTGTTTGGCCTGCGCTAAGGGGATGAAGCTCTAATTTGCCATTCTGGTTCTTGGCAAGGTGCATCTAGCAGGATTTTTCACAGGATGGTGAACCTTCCCCATACCTTCCAGACCACATTCTGAGGTGGACATCCACCTTGCCTACTCCCAGGACTGTCCCTACCATTTTATGCTGTTGTGTAAAAAGCTACTTCAACAAATAATCCAATTCTTGGTGAGGCTTTGGATGGGCTTTAGCGCAGTCCAATAGAACTTTCTGTGATAATGGCTTTTCTGTTAGCCATGCCGTCCAACAGGAGTATTCATTGGCTATTGAGCACTTTGAATGTGGCTGGAGTGACTGAAGAACTAATTTTTATTTTATTACATTTGAATTATTTTACATTTAAGGTAGCTACATGTTCCTAGTGGCTGCTATATGGACAGCATAGGTCTAGTTAGTGTTGATTCCAACATTAAATCTATATTAAACCCATTTTTTAAGCCAGTGTGGTCTTGGAAAAAGTAATTTCAGAGTTTAAATTTATTGTAAGAATCCTCTTTCAAGGCTGGGATCTCTGGCTGGAGTCCAGGAGCCAGAGTTTGATATACTGTAAAGTTGCAATAGAAATCCAATAAAGTTGGGTTGGCAGGGCTGACTTCATAGGAGTCTACTAATTCCTTTGAGAAACAAGGAGCCTCTTCAATTCTTCTTTTGAAGTATGTGTCTAGAATGCCATTAATCAGTGTGTACATTTTATTTTTTATTTATTTATTTTTCATTTATTTATTGTTATGTTAATCACCATACATTACATCATTAGTTTTTGATGTAGTGTTCCGTGATTCATTGTTTGTATATAACACCCAGTACTCCATGCAGAATCAAAGATCTGTACCTCTGAAACAAATAATACAATATATGTTAAAAAAAAAAAAGAAGAAGATAGCAGGAGGGGAAGAATGAAGGGGGGAAATCAGAGGGGGAGACGAACCATGAGAGATGATGGAATCTGAAAAACAAACTGAGGGTTCTGGGGGGGTGGGGGGATGGGTTAGCCTGGTGATGGGTATTAAAGAGGGCAGTGTGTACATTTTATTTACTGTGATCTAAATGTTTGAAAGTGCTCAAATGACTGATAAGACATGGTCACCGTCCTTCAGAAGCTTATAAACCACAGAGAAAACATAAATAGGTATGAAACAATTAGAGTAAGATATGAAGCAATTAGAGACCAGGGGAAAGGCTAAACTCAGTTTTACGGACCAATGAACCCAGTAGGAATTCCTACTTGGAAGACGGTAGAGTAATCTGGTTTGGGTAGTCTATAAAACCTAGTGGAAAACACAGGGCTGCAGGCAGGGCCTGAAAGATGGTTTTGATTTGGACAAACAGAGAGGGAAAGAAAAGGCATATTGGAGAGCATGTGCAAAGAAGGTTGGTTATTTTAAGTTGGAAGACTTGACCAAAGGCTTCACAAACCAATGAAAGGACCAGGGGCTTGATTTGATGGATTCAAAGAAACCATTGGCTGTTTTCATTAGAGGCAAAAGCATTATGAAAGCAGTATCAGAGGAGAATCCGTCTGGCATCTTCCTGGATGGATAGCGGCGGTAAGAAACTGGAGTTATGGAAAGTCTGAGCAGCCCGTTGTCATAACTCAGCAAGAGGTGTTGAGGAGATACACAGGGCGGTGACAGTGAGAACAGAAAGATGGGCTACTGAGCTGTTTTCACATCATTCCCAGATACAAATGGATCTAAAGATGAACAACCCTTCTTACAGCCATATTTTACATTTCAAAAGCACTCAGGGGTTCTTTGCTTTGAAAGGAAATTTAAGACTGTGGAATATTTTCTTCACATTTCTTTGTAAAAACAGACTAAAACTCTTCCCTAAAAACTTTGATCGTGCCCAATGTGATCTCAAAGTTTAACAACAGAACTCTTGGTCAGTTTGCCAATTGTTAAAATATGTTTGTGAAGAGAGCACAACATAGATCATCAATGCTCATATAGACAAGGAAGTAATAACTACAGAAATCCAGATGTAAGCGCAGCTCACCTAGAAATACAGTGCTCTTTCCAAGCCCTTCTTTCAAGGTCACCTACAATAATAAAAGCTAACACTTGTAGATTCTAAATAAGAAATTTGCTGCAACTTTTATAATCCTATGAGTATAAACCACCCTAGGCAGATTTATGTATAGGACCAACTATCTCCGATTGTATTTTCCAAAAGCTTTTCAATGTTATTAAAGCTGAGCCTTTGCTGTTAGTGTGGTGCTCACATCTTGGTGCTAGTATCTTCACATGACGGAATTTTAGAATTTGAATGAATCCACGGGGTGGAAATATTTTAGTTCTCATTTAAGTATTATATATATTTTAGAGATCGTTGTTATGGGTTTTTTTATTTTCTTTTTTAAGATTTTATTTATTTATTTGACAGAGAGAGACACAGCGAGAGCGAACACAAGCAGGGGGAGTGGGAGAGGGAGAAGCAGGCCTCCTGCTGAGCAAGGAGCCCGATGCGGGGCTCGATCCCAGGACCCTGGGATCATGACCTGAGCCGAAGGCAGATGCTTAATGACTGAGACTGTGACACCCAGGCGCCCCAGATATTTCATTTCAAAGATAAAGTTTCTTGTATCTGCTTGTTCTTATCCCCAGTGGGCAACATAAGTGATACAGTATTACTGATTATAAGAATTTCCTACAAATGTCTAATATATTAGACATAAAAAATTAGTTCATAATTAGAAATCAATGTCTGAATGAGTATCATTATCCCAATTTCACAATTGAAAAATGGAGGTGCAGAGTAGTTAAGTGACTTGCTCAGTGGCTCAACCCATAAATGCCCCAACTTTCTTTTCTGAAAAGCAAGGAAAAAATAGTCCTTAAGTCATGGTGTTAAATGAATATTAAAGAATTGCTTAGAAACACTTTGGAAGCGTTATGTAAGTTTGTTCAATGAATGGGAAGAGCCGGGTGCCTGGGTTGCTCAGTCAGTTGAGCATCCGATTCTTGGTTTCGGCTGATGTCATGATCTCATGGGTTGTGAAATTGAGCCTGAGTCTGCTCCCAGCTCAGCGGGGCATCTACTTGAGATTGTCTTTCTCCGTCTCCCTCTCCCTCTGCTGCTCCCCACATACTCACGCTCTTTCTCTCTCACTCTGTCTCTAAAATAAATAAATAAATAAATAAATAAATAAATAAATAAATAAGGGCGCCTGGGTGGCTTGGTCAGTTAGATGTCCAACTCTTGATTTCGGCCCAGGTCATGATCTCAGGGTCATGGGATCGAGTCCCACATCAGGCTTTGCATTCAGCACAAAGTCGGCTTGTCCCTCTCTCTTTGCACCTCCCCCTGCTCTCTCTCTCTCTAAAATAAATAAACTCTCTCTCTCTAAAATAAATAAATAAATAAAATCCTAAAAATAAATAAAATAAATCAATCTTTTAAAAAATGAAAAAGGCAAGCTTTTTCTTGACTCTTTTGGAGGAGTTAAAATGCATGAGAGAGATTTTCCCAAAGCCTTATTTATACTTTGATCCTTAGTCTTCTTCACATCTGTAGGAAAAAAAAAAAAAGACAACAAAAATCCTCCTATTCACCAAGAAAAGGCTTTACCTTTTACTGAGTGCCCTTATATATCATTATCATCTAAACCAACATCTTGGAGCCAGACCACCTCAATTCCAATCCTGCCACTGCCAGTTACCAGTTGTGTGACACTGAGCAACTCACATAGCCTTTCTGTCCCTCAGTTTGTTTATCTATAAAATGGGTATAATAAGATATTTAATCCTATAATGTGAATATTAAAGAAGTTAGTATCTGTAAAGTAGTGCCTGTCACACAGTAGGTGCTAGATATATTCAGTGGGAATCCCTTTCTGATAAAAAGGTCGCCAGGGTAGAGTATCTAGATTGCTTTCTGAAATTTGTCATAAACCTCTGAGAAACAAACAGGGTTTTAGACGGGAGGGGGAAGGGGGGGAGTGTTTAGCCTGGTGATGGGTATTACTGGGGCACGTACTACATGGAGCACTGGGTGTTACATGGAAACGATGGATTGTGGATCACCACATCAAAAACTAATGGTGACTAATGCATGGTGACTAACATAACATAATAAACTTAAAAAAATAAATAAATAAAATAACCTATATGGAGACTGAAGCACACTTGGGGTGAAATTTCTCCCTCCCCAAGTTTCCAACATTTCCTTTTTGTATATTCTTGCTGATGCCATTTTATATGTCAGTAGTCAGTTGGGACGCCCACAAGAAGTTCGATTTCTGGCACTTTAAAAAAAGTTCCATTTTTTTAAAGTCCCTGCTTTCTAAGCCTGGCCTATAAAACAGAGTAGAATTTCTATTAGTATATACTGTTGAATAAGAGCCAATTAGTTCTGATTCTCTAGGTCCAAGTTAAACAGCTATTCGTGACCCAATATTGCAAGAGTTCCATTTTTCTCAAAATTCTCTTGAGTTATTTTGATAGTGCATAACTGATGAGCCTGAGCTTCTCAGAGAGTGGAATCTGGTTAGAAGAGCACTGGAACAAGAGTTGGGAAGACCAGGGCCTGCTTTGGATAAGCTTGTTAAGCATGGGCAATTTACTGCACCCCATCTGTAACCAGCAGCATTGGGTTAGATCTGGAGGGTCCAAATTAAGCTCTTTGGAGCCAGAGGAAGGCAGGAGTCAGCCAGAGCGGTGTTGCTGCTATTCGTCTCACTTGTTCACATTTCCTATAAAAGTTCCCCGGCACAACGGATTCTGTCCCCGGAGAAGAGGGAAAACCGCAGAACAAGTTGATCTCTGAGACCCGGGCCAGGGCTAGCATTTTCCTATGATTCATACTCTGCTGACCACACAAGTGTGATCCAGACTCACGACTCACCCAACTTTTCACTTTGGTCACTTAGTAATTTTTCCTACCGTCACTTTGGCTTTCTAGTGTTTTACCTGTCCTCCCTCTCCGGCCCCGGGCCTAATCAGTTATTAAGATATTTGAATCTATTGAACAGAATGTTTCTTTGAGTGGAAAATGTTGTTTTGCCCTTAAGAAGAAAGTGATGTTGCTTGGTGAGACCGGACGGTGTTTTCATGTTGTTAAAAAGAAACGACAGAACTATTTTGGGAGAAAGGTAGAATAAGAAAATATCTGTACTAAGTATGCACGGTTTAAGCAAAATCCTTTGGTTCCTACAAAACTGAAATCAAGAGCCTCTTCTTTTTCTCTCTACTCTGGCACATTCACTGCTGGGTTTAATTATGGATGGGTAGAAGGGAAAATGCAACCTTGTATAAAGTCATCCAAGCCTCACTGCCTGGCCTATATGTGGCCATTGCTTGTTCTTTGTGCAGTCAACAGAAGCTCTTTCATACAAAGAAAAACCGTGCAAAGTTTTAGAATGGCCTCACAGAAAGGAGTCATTTAAGACCTGAGCTTTTTGTGGAGTATGGTTCTTAATGACACATTATAGAAAATTTACAATAAAAAAAAAAAGCAACAAAGGAGATTTCAATTTCTATGAATGCTTCAAATTTCCAGTTCTGGAGTTGAAAATGGAAAAAAGATGTTAAAAGGCAAGGAAATGGGGGGCAGAAGGGGGCGTGATTTCCCAAATGCCTTATTTTTCCGGGCAACAAAAGCAAGCATCATGTATATACTCAGATTTATTGTCATTTTCGGCATTCAGTCATGCCACACTTTGCATTCGGAGGCCACTGTACAGCTGTTTTGACAAGCATTCACTTCAGAAGGTTCTGGGCAGGACACACGAATTGAGGCAGGGGTGTTCCTCTGGGTCTAGAGGGAGTATGGTACATCAAGGAAGTCAGATGTATTTGAGCAGCATGAATTTCTAATATGTTGCCATTATGGAAAGGACCACTGGCATATTGAATAATGTAGCTTTCAAAGCCAAGCAGAAAATGTGATTACAGGCAATTTGATTGCTGTTTTTAAAATAAATATTTTTGAAATCTTGAGATATTTTATTTCATGTAATGCATCAAGTATGTAACAGTGGACCAGAGCTAAATATCTTTCAGGACACGAAGGAGCTGATGATGTCAGCCCCATTTAGATATGAAATAATAGAAGCATTAGTTTAAAATGGAATGGAAGTTACCGTGGTTTGTTTCTTTCTTTAAAAAACAGGGGAGAAAAAGCAATAGAAAGAAATGATTTTGACAGAAGAAAAAAGACGAAGAATAATTATTTAGCATTATGCCACAATTCACAAAATGTTTTTGCAATTACAGCCTGGTTTTGGTTGGGTTTTTTTTTCCCCCACAAATTATCCTTTTTTGAATATTGCAGCACATGAGAACAATGTATTCAACCACTTCAATGCTGTGAAGAAATGGGCTGGTTTTGTTCTTATTTTTGACCATATATAATAAAAATGTGTGGTTTGGGTTTTTTTTTTTAATGTCAAATTCCTAATAAGGCCAAAAATAAGTGTTGTTTGTGGTTAGTTGTTAAGCTCTACTTCAGCCCTTTCTTTGCTCAAAACAGGCTACTTTGAATGTGGTATTGATAAGGAGTTCAATGAACTCAGTATGTTAATGATTTGGGACTATCTTTTAGTGCTACAATAAAATATTATTCCAAACTGGAGTTCTCCTTAATAGTGTGCAGGAAAGGAGCCAATTTAAAAATAACACTTTTACTTTCTTCTGCCAAGTAAGGAAACTCAAGATCGACTTTGTATATAGGGCTCGTTGTACTTTTTCTTCAGCCCTAGAGTTCATATGGATGTGTGCCTCACCCATGCACAGAAGAAGTTAAAAAGCTATAAAACCAGTTATATAATACACAAACTCTGAGAGTTATTCAATCCAGCCTCTTAATTCCAGGCAGGAGTAAACCTAAACCATTTCAGATATGTGGTTTTCTACCTAAGAGCCAAAATTCCACAATTTTCCTTGGTAGCCTGTTTGTGTTTAATTAACCTTGTAACATTAAGTCAAATTGCAGTGAGAGATTTAGATTCCTTCCAGGAAATTCCTTATTAAAGTTAAACGAAAATCTCTTACTACAATTTTCGTCTACTTTGTCCGCTTCAGACGTCTGAAGGCTTGGAGCACAGCTGATTTCAAGTAGTTGACATTTATGAAGTCGGGTTTGCTGTTGTGTTGTACCGGGCCCCAACAACCCCGATTCCTGTAGCCTTTCCTCAAAGGTCATATTTTTCAACTTAAAAATTGAATTAACTTCCTTTAAAAAAAAAATTGGGGATCTTCAGGCATGTGCTGACCACAATGGGAGGCATAGCTCTAGACAAGGCCCCAGATTACAGATTAATTTCTGAATTTTTCAAACAATTCTCTGCCCCACATGGACGTTTTTAGGATAGGCTCTTGAATAGCATCACTGATTGCTGACATATTTAATTTTTGGCTCACTCATAGAAGTGTCCTCAGAGAAAAAGATTCTAAGTAGGACCATGAGTAAGACTCCCCGGACCCTGGCATGAGGTTTCAGCCACTGGCTATACCCTGCAAATTGTTAATAAAATGTTCCCTAAAGTGTTGAGGGGGGAAGCTTGGGAGAAGCAGCACGGAACCCGGATGAAAGACAGGTGGGAATGGGGAGGATAAACAGCCAGTGGGGCCTGTTTGTAGGAATCATGTAGCTGAGGGCTCCATCCCAGGGTGTTGCCCTCCTGCCCTTTCTCATTATTGGCTTCTTCTCCTCATTTTGGGTCCAGCAAACATTCCATCCTCAGTCCCACACCCTAAATCGTAGCAATAATGCTTCATATATGAAGTCCTCACTATAAATCCGGCCCTAAACTGGGCACTTGACACATGTCCTTCTTGCTCTCTCTTTCCTTCCCTTGCCTTTCGCCAACAATGCTCAGGACGTGCCCTCCCCCACGGAGAGGAAGATTTCTTGTTCCCTCTTGCTCCACTGGGCGAGCTCTCTACAGATAAGAGGACCTAGATACTTTGCGAGCTTACTTGGTTTCATTTCTTTCCGTAGAAATTATTGATAACAATATTATAAGTAGTGCACCGCACTTAGTAAGACCTTGGTAACTCTTTCTGATCAAATGAATGAACTCATTTGTCCCCACTGGGACAAATTTTCCCCAGACAGGTAGGTGTAGGATCATTTTTGCTTTTTTATGCTGACACTTCTAAGCCATCGTTTAGTCTTCTAAAATGTTACAACTATTCCAGTTTTTTTAAAAAGTTTGATGTTCTGTGTCATGGGGTCTAAATGTTCTAGCCCACTATAATACTTTCAATATAGCTAAATGAATTTGAACTCTAAATTTGCATCCAATCTTGTACTCTTAATACTTGAATCAATTTACTACTAACTATTCCTAACTTGTACCACTATTAAATTGATATATTTGACAATCAATTACAGTGTGTTAGTTGATCTTCCTTTTTAGGTGAATACTTTTATTTTCTGAGTAGAGCTATTTTTATGGAGAAAAATTATCAGTAAAATTACAAGACTTCTAAAGAAATATATTCCTGCCTAGTCTCCCGAATCTTGGAGGCAGAAGAAGCAATGTGAACAATTAATGTCTATTAAAGATTGGTCCATATGACCAGTGAGATTTTTTTTATTATCATTATGAAATGATTCAGTCTTTGACTTGCCATTTGCTTGATTTGTGCAAGTAGATTATTAACATTAAAATGTTGCATTATAAACCCATTTAGTCATGTAGTCATAGGAGAATGAGTCTAAAATGCTTTTCAGGAGAACAATGAACCAGTCTCATTTCAAGACACCACTTCCTTCATTATTCATTAACTATTCTTATCTAGAGCATACGGGAACATTTTAAGAGCAGGTTTTGGTTTTTTTTCCATTTCAGTTTTTTTTCCAGTTTGAAAGTTCCGAGTTCTCTAATGTGGACAAGCATTACCTACAGGAACATAATATTTGTCTTTTTATATTAGCCATTTATATACTTTGCCAGAAGCAAGACACACTCCCTTGGAGGAAAGGTATAAGGTGCTACAGGATCTTTGACCATTTGGTACAGTCATTAAAATATGAGATTCTACTTTCCTTTTTTGGACCATTTAAAATATCACAAACGCCATAGTCACCTAGAGAACAGTTCTTTTTTTTCCTTCACCTAATGAATATATTTAGCATTCTGATTAATATATAATAACAAAATTGATAGTTGAACATCTTTGAATTTAATGGCATGTACAAATCCCCCAGGGAAATCTAAGTACCGTTTAACAGGGGGAGGATTTAACTCCTTTTTGTAATTCAAGATAACAATTCTATTTTTGATAAGCATGGAATTTTGTCAAAATTTGTCACATTTGAAAAGTATTATTATTTTTTTAAAGATTTTATTTATTTACTTGAGAGAGAGAGAGAGAGAAACACCATGAGAGGGGAGAGGGTCAGAGGGAGAAGCAGGCTCCCCACTGAGCAGGGAGCCCCATGTGGGACTCGATCCCAGGACTCCGGGATCATGACCTGAGCCGAAGGCAGTCACTTAACCAACTGAGCCACTCAGGCACCCTGAAAAGTATTATTCTTTAGCATTTACGTTTTGCTTTTTTAAATCAAAATCTTGATTGTCTTTAATAAAAAATTACTCAACCCCCAAAACACATTACACTATTAAAACTTTTCATATTTTTGTATGCATTGCATATTTAATCACACTCTCTGCCAGCCAGCAGACATAAATAATGGCTTACTGAATGGAGCCAGGACCATACTTCATACATTGAGAAACTTGAAAATGCGCTGAATGAAAAATAAGTCCTTCTCTGCTTCTTTAGACAGTAGATTCATAAAGATTATTGCCAAAAACGTTAAATTAGGAAGACTATGAAAAGACAAACAAAACCCTTAACATGTTACAACACTTTCTTCCCATCATGAGGTTACACATATCTCATAGTGCTTGAACGATTAACAGGAGAAGATTCAGGCCCAACCATGTAACTATTATTCCCACACAGAGGAAAAGTGTGCTATTTGCATCCGTATATATGGATGTCTCTGGCTCCTTCCATAAATCTATAGAGTTACACATTCATATGTTGATTGTGTTTGGGCATTTGGGACTCTCACCCACCGTGAGGGGATCAGTGGCCTGTGAAGGCCATTCCCCCACTGGGCAGATACAAGGTGGGACCTTCCATTAACAGTACTGTTACCTGGGATATGTTCTTATTTATGGGTTGTTACTGCTTTTCCCCAAAGCAGCCTCATTTCCAAGGATAGCAGCACATGAGATGAGCCTGTGTTTCCCAGCAAACAGCAGACACTGCATTTTCTGGAGCCGTGTTTTGCTGTCGCATTTTACCCCCCTCATCACACTTGTGTGGAGGGTCTTTGTTGTGCCTCGGATCTGTAGGTGTTATGTGGAGTGACTGTTAGAATCCTGGAGCTGACGGTTCACTTGAGAGGATGAGGGCCACCTATATGACACACATGGAAAATTGGAGACCATGGAAGATCAAACTCTCAATGGCGATATCCTCCTTAAATTGTCCAGGGAGTGCGGTGGTCACCTGCAGAACCCGACTAATGGCTTTGCAGTCTTGGGAAGTGGTATGAGTGCTTGGTCCACTGGTGGGTTCTGGGGTAAGGTGGCTTGACTTGACCCTGCCTGGCCCCTCACTGGCTGCGTGTGACTCTGAGCAAGTGACTTCACCTTTCTCTGCTTCACTGTCATCTGGTGGTGATGACTGAATTGGTCTATGCGTCTGAAGCCCTCGAGCCATACCAGGCAGACAGCGTGCCTCATGTCAGCTAAGTTCCGTGATCTGCCTTCTCTGAAGTCCCTTGGCTGCTTGTCTGGGGTTTCCTTATGCTGTCTGTGTTTCCACTTCTAGTTACTGGTGTCCATGTTCTATGCGACATTCTAAGAACTACTATGCCAACGTTTATTGAACCCCAACTAATGCCAGGTCCCGGGCAAGGTGCTTTGTAGTTTCCTTCATAGTCCCCACAATCACACCAGGAAAGGATGGTGTAATCCTTATTTTACCCGGAAGGACTGAGGACACAGAGGTAGGGCACACAGGTACACAGGTGGTGGGTAGCAAGGTGGGCAGGCTAAGGGATTGTCACCTGCATTTCTGCTAAGTCAGAGGCTCAGTAACTTTGCACTGAAAGCCTTAATTGAGCATTTTGTCCTCTCCCTCCCCCTATGAAGTGTGTCCTCATAAACCCCAATGAGCCATCAGTGTTGACCCTAGCCTTGCCAGCCCAGATAACATTCACCATTCTGCCCTCTTTTATTTTTAACAAAATAAACTCACTCTATTTTTACATTGCTGAAATAATAATAATCCAAGAGAGTGGGTAGAGGAAAAGAGAGATCATATAGTCCAGTGGAAAAAGGATAGCCTTGGTGTTCTGGCTGGGTGATTTTGACAAATCACTTGACCTCTCAGACTCTCCATTTCCTTCACCGTAAAAGGAAAAAAAAAACGGGATGACAACAATAATATTTACATCACCATATGGTTGTGGGGATTAAGTGAGACACAAGGTGAACATTGCTCGCACCTAATAGTCTAAGTATGTTCTGTAGTTATCACGTTGAATAAATTAGAATTCTGACAAATGAAAAATGTTAGCTAGTTGTCGAAAATCCAATAATTTAAAGTTTAAACTCTTCTGCAAGGAAAACAGTGTTGCCTCCTCAGGTAGCAGCACGCTATGCTAATAGACTAGGATTCGTGCAGTTTGGCCTCGTGACCCGGAGTTGGGCTATCTGCCATTTGCTACAAATTCGTTATCAGCCAACCTCAAGATAGTCATTCCTCCCCATCGTTAGTATACAAAATTTACTTCTAAAAGTACAAAGATATTTAAATTATTTTATAAATAAAAGGAGGAAAAATTCTGGGCAGCTTGCCAAAGATAGCAGATCTGAAATTAGCTAGAAATGGTTCCTTCTCTTTATTAAATTCCTACTCTTTTTTTCTTACATGTTCATATCAGCTTGTCTCTTCATAAAAATTTGAGTATTCCGTATGACAGAGGATTGACAAAAGCCAAAGAAATATAGAATTGTGAATAAACTTCGACCAAGTTTTCTTCATTCCTGTCCAATAAGATAAATTACTGTAGCCCGAGTTACAAAAGCATCTTGACAGGCCAAGTCCCAAATGAGCAGTGTGCTCAGATCCCCCCATGAGCTCAGGGCCCTCCCTGATATACCCAGTGTGCAAGGGACAGCACTGGCCCATGAAGGAGGATGGAGCCAGAGTGTAAATTTCAAAGCTCTCCCCGTCAGTGGCCTCCTCCCCACCCAGCCTACGGAATGTCCCAGGCCCTGAGAACAGTGCTATGGAGATCCTCTCGTGGGGCCAGAAACCAGCTGGGAAGTTATCCTGCATGCATATTACTGTCCATGCTTAGTTATCTCAGAGGAGCAGCTGCAGGGTTTGAACGTGTCAGCATTTAGTGAGATGTTCATAGTGATTTGTAATCTGAGCTAATTCAGCTCCCTGTGTAGGATCTCCCAAACAGGGTTGAATCTAGGATGGATCCAACTACTAGGGTAGTTAAACAGACCAAGGTGCTTTTATGCACAGTACAGCCAATCTTCACAGCAATGGGAAAGGGACACATTATCTTTGCCTATTTGGAATAGTCAATGCACAATTAAAATGGCACCTCGGCATTAGGTGATTAGGGTATATACCATGTTTATAGCTTTAAACATGGTACAACAAAATGCTGCTCCTTAGAGCACAAGGTAATTGAAAAGACTGTGCATTTTATTGGCACAATGGAAAGAATATTGAAATCAGGGCTGCCTGAGGGCAAACATGACCTCATTGGGTCCAAAGTTCCCATTATCCTGCAGTGGTTACCAAGATGGGCACTTCTTAGCTGCAGGACCTGACACGGGGTACGTCAGTTCTTTCCCCCTTTGTGAAATGGAGGTGCTGGTTGGTATGTTGTGTTTCTTCCTGTGGGACTAAATCAGAGAGTACAAGTAAGGCAATCATAGGTTCTCACGTACAGTACATTATAAACAGGTGATAGATAGGTGCCTGTTTCTCTTGGATGCATCTTAATACTGGAATTTCCTTACTCTCCTGTGAGGTTTTATAAAACAATGAGTTTTTTATTTTTTTATTTTTTATTATTTTTTAAAGATTTTATTTATTTATTTGACACGGAGAGAGACAGCGAGAGAGGGAACACAAGCAGGGGGAACGGGAGAGGGAAAAGCAGGCTTCCTGCCGAGCAGGGAGCCTGATGCTGGGCTCGATCCCAGGACCCTGGGAGCATGACCTGAGCCGAAGGCAGTCGCTTAACCAACTGAGCCACCCAGGCACCCCAAACAATGAGTTTTTTATACTGTATGTAACTGATATAACTTGCGAAGAAACGCTTTCTTATCAGTAGTCATTTAAAATTTTGGCCTTTTTAAATTAAAACAAATTCTAATTCTCTGAGGCTTAAAAGCATGATTTCTAAATATAAAGTTTGGGTGAATCTTAAGTTCTGGTCTAAGTTGCCATTGAGAGCTTTGGCGTGAAGGGCGGAAGAGACACTACTGGGCTGAGGGACACGGTGGTGACCGTGGATGAGGGACCACCATAGTGAAGTCTGGAGGATGCTTCATGCCAGCATTGGGCTTTACAGCAAGGAAGGGAGGGGCACTACCATGACCCACATGTCCTCACATCATTCTGTAATGATCCTATGATATGAAATGGAAAAAGGTGACAGTGTTCCCAAGAAATACAAGCGAAATACACAGAAAGGAAATGACTACAATACACAGCTTCCTGCAGAGGCGAGGAAAAGAAGAAATTAGGAATTAAGTCTCCCTGGGCCATCTATTCAAATGTTGAGAAAAATATGTTACTAAGGAGAAAATATCAAATATCTGTTGAAAGACAAGTGCACGTTGCTTGGAATCAAGGATCACAGAAGGGTTTCCTAAAGCACCTCGATGACAATTTTATGATGCATAAAATAGTGGATTCTCCTTATTGCAGTTTATTGGATAAGCACTTCCGTGAGTATAGGACTACACTCTGCCTGGGAAGGAAGAATCTTGCCCAACAGGCTCTTTCTTGGTCCCAGTTGTGAAGAAGATGCCACTCAGGCATAAAGTATATGAGATGAGAAAGTAATGAGGGATATGTCCACGCGAGAGCAAACAAATGTTTTGACAAGGAGTAAACCTGGTTATGGGTCCTTCACCTTGAGAATGTTGAAGGAGTGTTGAAGACAGTAATTCTGTTGACAGTTATCGGGGAGTTTCATTTCAAACCCTCCCTACTTCTGCGTAGTATAAAAATACAGAGGTGAGAACAACTCGAGCGCTTACTATGTAATTTGGAAATCCCTCCTTCTTACATGTTTTGCAACTTCATATGTCAGTGGAAAAATCACAGAATAACAATACCAAAAATGCATATTTTCCTAATATAACGAGATGTTTGAAGCACAAAGTTTTTCAAATACCTGCAACTTGTCATTCTGCATTCCATTTCCTGTTTGTAGACAAAGCTCAAATTTCGGCAGTACTAAGTGTCTTTGCTTTCTGGTTGTATTCTTTATCAGATGATTCTTACCTTGGAGCTTCATGGAATCAGAATTGAACCCCAAGTTTTCCTCTTTGTGGTGCATTCTTATACATAGGCCTTGAGTCTTAGAATAATTGGAGAGTATCGGGCATCTACACTATGTAGGATTACCTTATAATTTATCATTCATACCAATACAGTTCTGAAAGTGAAGTCGCTAACTAATTATCATTAGGACTAAAACAAGGACCGCCCTGAGGAAACTGGAATTTAGGTTCCTGGAGCTATATGTGAGACACTATGCATGATAATGGTGAGGACGCAACAATTATGGAAATAGTTCCTGCCCTCGAGTGTCTAGTAAAACAAATGAGGTATGTACTCAAAAATCACGCAACACTTGAAAGCATGGCACTTACTATAACAGACTTATAAAAGGACATGAGGAACCAGGGCAAATGACCCGATAGAGGTAGTGTTTGAACAAGATCTCAAGAAATGATTCATTATTGACAGGAAGAGGTGGGGAGGTTGTTTTTGGAGTGAAGGAGTTTCATGGAGTGTGTGTTCATGTGAATTGAATCACCATCCACGCCAGAGGCTCAACCCCAAAACCTGGGATTCTTCATTGGTTCATCTTTTCCCCTCCCTCCACACATCCATTATGAGCAAGCCTTGACTGAATTGCCTCCAAAGTATATTCTGACCCCACCCATGTCGTTTCTGTCTTCACTGCTCCCCATCATGGTCCGGAGTGTGGCCTTCTATTTGGATTACAGTCATGGTATTGGAGCTGGCCTCCTCTCGTGACTCTCATCCCTCCGTAATACATTCTGCACACAACGTAGTGTCAGTGTGGTCTTTTTAGCCTGCATTAGATCGGCCACATTTCACTGGCTCCCCACTGCACCCAGGATAGAAGAGGAAACAAAATCCATATTTCTTAACATGATATTCGGGGCCTTTGCCAAGATTGCTGACCTTGTTTCATGCTATTCCGACCCTAACTGGGCTAAGTCACATTGGTTTTCTGTTACCCACCTCCCACCCAGTGACCTTTGCACCATCAGGAACACCTTTCCCTCGGGTCCTCACATTCAGTTCTTAGCTCAAATGTCACTTCCCTGAAACGCTGGGCGAAAGTGGTACTGCCCCCACCACTCGCTCCTCATCACGTCGCCAGGTTTTATCAAATGAGTGAATGCCATAAAGCACACATGGTAAGAAATGAATAAAATAGTAGCAATGTTATTGTCTGAATTATCTAGCTTATTTAACTCGTTGATTATTTGCCTCCCACTGCCTTTCACTCTGGGAGAGGTAGATTTCTTGCCTATCTAAGAGCTGCCGTATCCGGCACATCTACAAGAGATGTCACAGGAAGTGCTCACTTGGTAGTTGTTGAGTGAATGCATATGTTTTCAGTTAAAGAAGTCCTTAAGAAATTGAAGACTCCTATCTTAATATAACAGGGATTCCACAGAAGCAGGTGGAAGAGTTTGGAATGTGTACATGTATGTATACGTAGACACATGCAGACACACACACGCTTATTAATACGTACATATACACTCTGTTTAAGTGTGCTAATTTATCATGATCAAAATATATTTTATATTTTATCTTTGCCTTCCTCTCTTGCCCCTGCCTCCTAAACTTCAGTCCTTGGAACCTCAAATTAGTAAAGCACTGAGTCAGGACAATCCCAAGAGAGCATGCAGAAATGATTGAGA